AAATGACATTAGAATTATGTGGTTTCCTCCCTCTGTCAGTGTGTTGACAACCTGTTTAACTTTGAGTAATCGTGTCAACAAACAACATCAACAACACTTGCTCTTGTCTGCAGCCTGTTACAAGTGACTGTTGCCTTGACAGTTGATGGCGTGTCTCACAACTGCAAATGCTTGTAACTGCTTATTACAAGTATCCTGTGCTCAGCTTGAAAAAAAAACACATTTTTCCCCAGTAACAACAACTCTTGACCTTTACGTGTTAGTTGCCCTTGATACACAGGCCTTTATCCAGGGGCATGCTCCCTCCAAAATATCCTACTACCTGACTACAGGGTCTAGAATAGGAATGCGTTTCCTCACGCTTATCTTACATGGAGTGGCCTCAGTCCAAGTTCTGCCACGTTCTCCTACATTCAAGAAAATGGTTGTAACTGTAGGGCACATACACGTTCTCTCCCCAATCCAGACATAGTCTTTCTCAACTTAACTCCACAGATTGATGAACCTCAAAGGCCAGCACAGCGTTTGGAAGAGCCTACTGAAGAGTTGTACAAGTCAACCGAGAGCAGTGTCTCTGACCCGACTCCTTCCTCCAGCATTACAGAGATTGACAGTGCTGTCTACAGGCCCACAACCACCACCGGGGTACAGGCCAGGACCACGAGTACCAGCGTCATCAACATAGATAGCACAACTCCACTTCTAAAGCCTGAGGCGTTACCCAGTAGTAAGTTTTGCCTAGAGTCAGGATTGTCATGCTTGGAATGTAGATGGTGACCACAGTTAACAGTTGTCAACTGCTGTGATGCGGGATGGAACATGTTGAAATGTCTCAGTTGCTATAGGTACCCGAGGGTGTTCAAAACATCACATCAGACATCACAACAGTTAACAAAGTGTTTTGTCATATCTCTGTATTGATGTTTTTCACTTCTGTTTCTCAGGGCAATTTAGAGCTACAAAGGAATCTTTGAACATTAGTGGTTTGCAACCCTTGCATTATCCTGTACATTGTGTGGATGCATGTGCGTAATTTACCGTGCCGGCTCATGTGATGTTTAGCAGTGAGTGTGACATGCGATTATGTCACCCTGTCGCGTGATCATTCTTGGCCAATGAGAATATTTTCTAAAGACAGTGGCATTACATTCATAGATATCTCCAGGGCACTTCCTGGGATCCTGGCTGGGTTTAGTGTTCCAAGCATGTTAAGTTTAATAACACTTCTTTCGCAGTCCACTCTTATGGAACTATCTTGGCCAATTATTCATGTTTTCATTTGTGTGAAATGAAAACGTAAATAACTTTTACAAAATGGCTGATGCAAAAGAGGTTCGTTTTTTCAGCTGGTCAGCTTCAAACTGCTCACAAGCGACAGGGTGGAAATCGAGACGACGAAATTGTGGACATTATCCAAGACCATGATGTGGACAAATACAAGAGGAGAAGTGCTTTACATTGGTTTTCCATGTGGTTCAAGTAAGTTCAACCAATTCAGATTTCCAGAATAAAGTGTTGTTAAGATGCACACCTCTTTGCAAGGTGGTTTCAGCCATACTGTCATTTCCAGAAAGAACGTAGGGCTGAGTCAATTCGAATAATTGACTATTCGAATATTCGACCTTCAGTTTGATCAAATATTTGAATATTGTTGATGAACAATATACAAAATCAGTTGCAATAGTACATGCAATTGTACATCATAATCACTGTCATAGGTTCTCTCTCAAGCCACGATGTAGCAAAGATTTAATAATGTTAAAGATTTTTAAAATGTGCCCGGCACCACAATTTGTGGTTGCCGAGACACAACTTACTATTTCGCCTGATGCAGCCATCTTCTTCTTCGGACCTCCAGTCATTCGATTTTAAGTTGAAATATTGTCATGAAGGTTTCGTTATATTTTATTTCAACAGTGTTTGCATCAACACATCATTATTACAAAGAATACTATCTTGGCACATTCATTTTTGTTTTTAAAAAGCTATTTCCATATTATAGGATGAATTCTATACTGGACTGTTGGGTATATCAGCTGCCTTCCAATGTCGGGAATCTGCTTGGAACAAGCCACCATCATGCGATTTTAATGATTTAAAAAAGAAAATTCTCCCTTATTGTAATGAATTTTGCATTCAGATATTCAAATTCGAAAAATAATAATCGAGTATTTGATAATCGATCGAATTTGATTCGATATTTGAATATTCGGCACAGTCCTAAAAGAACCCCCTCATCAGGGTATACCTTGTAGTTTGCAAGGTGGTTCAGATAGATCAGACCAAGTTTTCCAGAATGAATGCTCTTTCTGTTTTAGGGTGTTAGGGATTACTGTGATTCAGGATTGGTGGGTTCAAACCCTGCCCCTGTCGCTTCCTGTCTCTGACCACAAAGAGGTCAACCCTAACTTCTCCAGATGCACAAGAAAGCAGCAGTTTCCAAAACGTGTTGGATATAGCTTACATCACAACTAGCACAATACATCGTGCAGCTGCATTTATCCAGAATGCCACAGGACACATTTTG